TACCGACGATCGAGTCTCGGGTAAGTAACGTACCGATTGACAAAGGGAATTGCATACAGGGTTTGATCGAATCCTCGACATAGTGGTTCATCCGATGACAACATCGAGGAGCATGTGGGAGCCATCATGGGTATCCAGATCCCGCTGATGGTTATTGACTGAGAGAGTCTCGGTCATGTCTGCATGTCTCCCGAACCCGTAGGGTCTACACACTTAAGGTTCAGTTACGCTAGGGTTATGGGGATATGTATATGCAGTAACCCGAATGTTGTTCGGAGTCCCGGATGAGATCCCGTATGTCGCGAGGAGTTCCGGAATGGTCCGGAGGTAAAGATTTATATATGGGAAGTCCTGTTTCGGGCATCGGGACAAGTTTCGGGGTTATCGGTATTGTACCGGGACCACCAGAAGGGTCCCGGGGGTCCACCGGGTGGGTCCACCTGTCCTGGGGGGCCACATGGGCTGTGGGGGGTGCGCCTTGGCCTAATGGGCCAAGGGCACCAGCCCCACATAGGCCCATGCGCCTAGGGTTCAAGGGGGGCAAGAGTCCTAGGAGGGTAAGGCACCTCCTAGGTGCCTTGGGGGGAGGGAAAACCCCCCTTGGCCGCCGCACCCCCTAGGAGATTGGATCTCCTAGGGCCGGCCACCCCCCCTTGGCACCCCTATATATAGTGGGGGAGAGGAGGGACTTCATACCTGAACGTCTCGGCCTTTGGTTGCCTCCTTCTCCCTCCCCAACACCTCATCCACCTCCATAGTGCTTAGCGAAGCTCTGCCGGAGTACTGCAGCTCCATCAACACCACGCCGTCGTGCTGCTACTGGTGCCATCTCCCTCAACCTCTCCTCCCTTCCTTGCTGGATCAAGAAGGAGGAGACGTGGCTGTTCCGTACGTGTGTTGAACGCGGAGGTGCCGTCCGTTCGGCGCAGGTCATCGGTGATTTGGATCACGTCGAGTACGACTACATCATCACCTTGCAAGCTTCCGCACGCGATCTACAAGTGGTATGTAGATGCAAACTCTCTCCCTAGACTCGTTGCTTAGATGAACTCATAGATGGATCTTGGTGAAACCGTAGGAAAAATTTTAATTTTCTGCAACGTTCCCCAACAGATCGGCGCTTCAGCATTAAGCTCGAGGAGACCTTCGATGTTGAAACGATTCACAATGATGACAATAGTTTTTTTCGTAATTAAGCACGACTTCAACTATTTTAACGTGTACTTTTCATCTTTTCCAATTCGACTAGCTTATCCCATGCTATGCAAGACGCTATGTCTTGGAGAGGATGGGTTTTGAAGACAATGAAAGTATGGAAACAAAGAAAATTCACCTAAGGACCAATCATGGTGTGGATTTTGATGTAAAGTTGTACAATTCTGAGAGTGTAACCCATTTTGGTTGCAAAAATTGGGAAGCACTTTGCAAGATGTATGGTTTTGATGAGTGTATGCTTGTCACCATGGATCTTGGTGATCTTGAAATCGAGCAAGAAAATATGGACATTTGGGTCCTTGTTGATACGCTTCCAATTCTTCCCCTATGTGAGCTTCTCACACATAGTTATTAAGTAATTTATATTGTTTATTTCAAAATAGTTGACAGCTTATTTTCATTCTTTAAAGAATGTGCGGAAGATGATAGACAAAATCCACTAGACCGATGGCTCTGAATTAACTTACAAGGAGAAAAATCATCTGATCGCATTTTGTAATGATCTTGAGAATTACAATATCTACAATCGAACTCCTCAACATTATGATCAATACGTGCCACTAGTGCACATGTTGAACTACGGTAACTACCATGGAGATACCCTGGTAAGATTTTTTACTATTACGACATCCATGCATCTTTTGCATACTTCTAAAACTAGTACATCATTGATAACTACGAAGTTATTACTATGTTTTTCAACAGATAATCCCGAATGATTGTGTGCCTCATCTGATGTATACGCACGGTCGCCTTGATGTTTTGAACATACAACCAGGTCGTCCTACGAATCTCAACTATTCATACCAGATTTCTAAAAGAAGTGGAGACATGACAATCAAATAATGGAAAAAATGTATGGACAGTCGTAAGGAGGTTCTTGGAAGCAAAAGGAAGCGAAGCGCAAGAATTGGAGACAGCATGATCTCCATTCTCCATAATGGAGAGTCAGGGTCTATATTGTTTTATGCTATTTTACCTTAAAGAGGTTATTTATACCTCATAATGATGATCATGTTCTATTAACAATTAAGTATGGTTGGTTCGATGACTATATGAGGATGATGATCGTATGACTTGTTATTAATAACGAGTAGAAGTTGTATGATGATGATTAATTAGTAGGACTTGTTATTATATATGATGATGCATGATGCGAGCGGGTGAAATGAACATGGGTTGGATTGAAGTGAAGGCAACATGCATGTGGTGCATGTCGAAAGTAGTACAATCCAAACTTGATCAAGTTAGAATTAGTATTACTTTCGACATGCACCACATGTTGCCTTGACTTCAATCTAAGCCATGTTAACGTTAGGCATAGCAGTAGCGTTGGTAAACCAAGCACGGAGATATATAAGAGAGGACACTTCTCTCTATTAGCTAGCTAATAACAACCTAAATTAACCCCCCAAACCCCTAAACCAGCCCTTTCAAAAAAACCTCAGCTCCAGCCAGCTGCTGGCGCGTGGATGCCTATTGGTCCCGGTTGGTGTCAGCAACCGGGACCAAAGGCCCCCGTGCCTGGGCTGACCGCAGCGGCCACGTGGAGGCCCATCTGTCCCGGTTCGTGTAAGAACCGGGACTAAAGGCCAAGGGCATTAGTAACAACCTTTTAGTCCCGGTTCCAGAACCGGGACTAAAGGCCCTTACGAACCGGGACAAAAGGCCCTTTTTCTACTAGTGCATCCGGTCTTGGGCTCCATGACGGCTCCTCCTCCCAACACCTCCCCTCTCCCAAGCTCCACTAGGAGATCCTTCTTCGCCTGGCGCATCATCGAGCACCCAGCCAAGGCATCTCAACCCCAGTTTCTCCACTCCCCCTCCTAATGCGCCCAATCACCCCCTTGACAAGTGCCCCTCACCCACGGGCCTCCATTGCCTCCATTGAGAAGCTCCGACGGTGAGCTGTTGGATGACGATCCGGTACCCACCTTCTATCGGGCTGCTGCTACTCCACCACTGTAGAGACTCTACGGCGACTACCCCAGACAGATCTGGCCACAGGGACCACCAAAGTGGCAAGGCCTGGCCCTCTCTCCACCAGATCGGGTCGGGGAGGGGGAGCTCCTGGCCTTGGACGAAGGGAGGAACGAGGTCGAGACCCACCTAGGCCAGGCACGTGGGCGCCGCCTTGCTGTACATGGCTGCTTGGGAAGGGGGTGGTGGCGGCCGGCTAGGGAGGGAGGTCGTGGTGGCCAGCTCCTCCCGAACCTCGATGGCGGCGGCTCCTCTCTGATCTCCGCGGCGGCGTAGGGCACCACTATGGCGGCTGGGGGGTGGTCCTCGTCCTCGTAGCGAGACGATCGAGGGCAGCCTGGATCGTCAGATACTTTTTTCGCGAGGAGCCCTCGCTCCCGGTTCGTGCGACGGGGCCTCGATTTTTTTTCGTTGGTTTTTTTCATAGGTTGAGGGAGGACGAAAATAAACCAGTGGAGATGGGATGAAAATTAACCGTGGAACGGAGACTATCAGCTGAGACATTAGGAGTAGAGACTTTTTTTTAATGGGAAGGCCTTCATGGCTAGCTTTATTAAACTAAATAACAGATACATCGTCTGCCAAAGAATTGGCAATGAAACTTGGTGGTGCCTCGATCCACAGAGACGGATCGTTTGCACGGCCATATTCAGCTAGCGCATGAGTAGTCATATTTGACTCTCTATTACAATGCTCAAGAATAACCTTCCCAAAACCTCTTAGTAAATCTCTGCAATCTTCCAAAATGGGGCCAGCCACCATTGATTGTCCTTCATTCAGCTGTAGAGCGTTTACTACAATGAAGTTATCCATCCTCGCCATGATGTTATTGCAACCCATCGGAATAGAGACATTAGGAGTAGAGACTTAACCTTCTTCTATGAGAACTAAAGAAAAAAACAGTGCTAGCGGTTTTTTGTTGGTCAAGCCGAAACGCATTGCGGAAGGGAGATGGGCCTGCTAGGCCCAGTGTTTTGAATTTCGGCCGAAAAAAATGGATTTCGGCCGAATTTCGGCCATCTCGGCCTAGGGCGAAATCTATCTTCCGTCGAAATTGGTCAAATTTGAGAAATTTTGGTCAAATTTTAATCAAATTTCAGTCAAAATTTGGTCAAATTTCGGCCGAAATTTTTAAAAACGACCGAAATTCGGCCATCTCGGCCTAGGGCGAGAAAAATCACAAACCGAAAATCAAAACGCTGGCTAGGCCCAGTTTGCCAAAGGGTATGATGGTTTCGCCTCTCCGCCCGCAGTGTTCGTCTCCTCTTTGATGCCGATCGGATGGGGATGCCTATGCCGCAGAAGAGGCGCCCCCGCCGGAGGAGTCCTCTTGAAGGAGTGTTCCGCCGGCGCCTTGGCGAAGGTGGGGCACGTTCTCTGTATCCCTTGCCTATTCGGACTCCGATAGCAGTAGCCGTGTGGATGGAGGCTCTCCGCCGCCCGACGAGCCTGCAACAGAGCCAAGGTACCATGAAATTATCGCCTCCCGCCTCGCCCAATTGCAGTTACCAGTCGGCGACGGCGACGGCGGCTCGGAATCGGACCTCACCGGTCTCCCAAACATCCCTTCCCGTGACATCCTCGAAGCCCTTACCCGTAAATCTTTCCACGACGATGAATCGCGAGCTGCTCTAGTGCAATATCAAATCCAGAGTTTCTTGCACGAGGAGACACAGGAGGGATGACGAGACAGAGATTCACAAGGAAAATCTGCTGATTCGGCCGTCGTTGTTGCTTCTGAACCGGCCGATGATGCTATCACGAAGCAGCAACACATCAGCGACTGTGAAAAGCTAGCGGCTCGCATGACTGAAATCGAGACTTACACCGAACTGGACCAAGAGGAGACCAACAAGTTCCATCTCAAGTATGCGCTTTATCGCATCAAAGCTTGCCTGGTTAGTCAATTACTCATTCAATCTGTTCATTATTAATCTATATATCATACATCCATACATGAAAATTTAATTATGCCCTCTTATGTACTTGACTTACTCCATCTGTGTACGTAGCTGTTGAAAGGAATGCCGGCTGACGAGATCGATGATGCTGCGTTGGAACGCAAGTACCCTCCAGAGCTTATCGTCAAGAACGACTACTTCTTTCACTACGTCCAAGATGGCTTCTTTGGTTGGTATTTTGATTCCGAACTCTGTTACAAGAAGTCCTTGAGCGACTACCAGCGGCTAGTCATTTTCAATGACGTAAGTGCTACCGTATTCGCTGCATTTATTTAATATGTACCAATGCAGTCGGTAACCTGTTTCTTAGGGATTTGCCGTTTGAATGGACAATAGCAAAAAATTGCTTAATATGAAAGTAACTTCTTGTAGCTCTACTTTTGGGTCTGAGTTTAAGGGACATAAATAAGGTTCTTGGAGAAACTCAACACTAAAACTAAGAAAATTGCAGCATTTGGAGATTAAGCACATATTAGAATATGGGTGCTTGCAATAAATTGTGGTAAAATATGTAACAAATAGAAAAGGCAGACCTTTTTTTAGCGGGGTCTTTCAGTTAAAAATCAAACAGAGCTTAATTTTCAATTTTTATTTGGATGGAACAAGTCCTAAAACCTCAGTTGGGCGCACATGCTATAGGCTGCTCCCAGAATACAACCACTATCCTGTTTTCGTACGCGTAAACAAAGTTTGCCCCTTTTTCTGAGTCCCCGTATATTTTCTAGTACTATGTGTTATTTGGGTCTTCTCGAACTGCATAAGTACTCTAATCAGTAATCTTAAGAGCATCCCGTTCGCTTGTGTTCAGTGCTTGTTAGTCTCAGGACAGCTGAACTATGTCGTTTTCCTGTTGTTTTACATGGATGCAGGGTGGCTATGAGTATACAAGTTGGAGTAGATACCGAGCATTTTATAGCACCCCTGATGCTGATAGAGATTATCTCCAATTCTGGGAAACAATTGTGAAGGAAATTAAAGTATGCCTTTTGGAATGATCAGCTAGTTCAAGTTTAGAACTTTGTTCAGTATTTTTGTTCTCCTGGACTAACATTGTTTGTTCTTGACAGTGGCTTGAACAGTATATGCTGACAAACGAGTCGTCTATTGAGGTATGCATATTTGACCTCTCAAAACCATGAAATTACTAAAAATCTCTATGTAAATTTTGAGGCACCACAATAACTTTTCTGTTCTATTATTTAGTGGGCGCGTGTACATTCAAAGGCTACATTCCAAGCATGTAGGATCGCATCTGGGTTTCAAAACATGACTCTGGAACTAGCAGCTGTTGGTTTGCATGTAGGACTCCTCTATCCCTTGCTCAGTCAGATATTCGGGTCTTGTTATAGTTGTATTTAACAATTGCATTCCTTCCATTCAATTCAGGAGTATATATGGGATGCACGCATAAATCTCATGTTTATGAAAGATCGTGATGGTATCTTCTATGAGATTTGGAGGCGGGTCAATGATAATCATCTGGTCAGCGCTACACATCAGCCTTTTCAAAACACAACATTGTTATTTTACTGATGATTGTGTTTTGTGAATACTTTCTTCTCTACTCATGCTTGGTGATGTTGTTTATTTTTCCCTTGGACAATGTTCAGCTGAGTTTCAGAGATGCTCTCGAGCAAGTTTATGGTGAAAACTTGTATTCAGCACACGACCGCAGTATGAAGTATGAGCTGAATTACGGCGATTCCAACATGGAGCGTGTTGTAGGTTTTTTGTTCCACAGGCGTTCTATGTGTGATTTCTTCTGTTATAAATCAATACATCTTTTACAATGCAAATTGATTTGGTCTTCTTTCTTTGTAGTTTGCTCGGTGCACGAAAGGCATTAGTGACAGTGTAAGTATAGTATGGTGTTGTCTTAGCATTTATTGGTTCCTGATATATTCTCGTGTGATTTCTTCTTTTGTGTCTCTATAGGTTCCAGAATATAAAGCCCGTGAGCTGATTGCACAGGAGATCCATTGGACGGTATGGTTGTTGGGTAGATATTGTCAAACACTGTGTCCACTTGCAGTTTTGTATGTAGCTTACTCTTTCCATTTTCAGAGTTTGTCGTCTGGAACATATGCGCGGTACGCCAGGAAGAAGCTGAAGGTTGCAGAACTGATCGGATTAATTCAGAAGGACAAGATAGGAGCTATGTAGTTGCGTTTGTTAAGATAGCAGCTGTGTACTTGTGTTGGTAATGACTTGGCACTGGTTCCATAAAGATTCCAGTCTGCATTATTCCTAGCAACGCCTGTTGGTAATGTCTTGGAGCGGGTATTGAAAAAAATCAATCAACAATTGACTAGATGTTGCTTTTGTATGGAAAAAATTCATCTTGAATTGATACCGGCGATGCAGTGAGACAAGATCGCCTCGATGGTCACTGCCAGCTCGCCGCTGGTTCTCGACAAAAGAATGCAAACATAGATCAGTAATAGAAGGTAATAAAGGAAAAGAAGGAGGAGATGAGCAATGCAGGCAGGGAGTGTATGATGCACGCACGCAGAAGCACAGGCCGTTGGCCAGAGAGGTGGGGTTGCGGCGTAGACGCGGGGCCGCCGCCCTCAAGATTTACAAACGAAAGAATAACAGAGGAGACACGAGGAGGAATAGAGGAGGGGTCTCTCGCTACTTTGCTAGAGCTGGAAGGAGAGAAATCGTCGCGTGCAACCTGTGAGTCTCCTTGACAGCTGGGCATTGTGTTGTGGACGCAGGTGCTTAGTGGCCGATTGTTTTACTACCCCTAAAAAAGGTTGTTTTTGTAGCGACCTTAAAGAGTTACACGAGTACTCGTGACATCGGATCGTTTAACTTGGTCTGTAAGCAATCTTAAATTAAAGCTTGACTTGACTCATTATCATTCGAGTTCGAGTCAATTCAAGCCGAGTCACAAGCTACTCGTTTAGCTCGTGAGCTTCGAGTTTTTTCTCCAGACCTAGTTTGAAGTGGGGCAGTGAACCCTACTGCATCACATCCCTCCTCCCTTCCTTGAGGTCGTCCATGGTAGCTCCTTGAGGCTGTTTGACGCGATGCGACACGGCAAGCCAATGTGGCAGCCCCAGACTCCGGTGGTGGTCGCAGGGCGAGGCACGACAAGGGACAGGCATCGTGTGGAGCTGTGGGACTATGGCGGATCTGCCACCACGAACGGCATGGCGGCGGCTGCAGGCCATGGGAGGCTACCCCGGAGCATGGTGGCGTCCCTCCGACGGAGGACGAAATGTGGAGTGGCAAAATGATTGTTGTTTGCAACTGCGTTGGTATTTCCCCGAAGAGGAGAGGATGATGCAACACAGCAATGGAAGTATTTCCCTCGGTTATGAAACCAAGGTATCAATCCAGTAGAAGGTTCCATCAAACTATGTAAACAGCACCTTCACACAAAAAACAAAAAATTGCAACCCAACGCGTAAGAGGGGTTGTTAATCCCTCCTCTGTATTGAGATAGATTAAAATGTATGAGATTGGATAAATAGATCTAACAAAAATATAAAATAAAATAAATAAAGAAAAAGTGCAGCAAGATATTTTTGGATTCATAGATCTGAAAACAATATGATAGGAAACAGACCCGGGGGTCATAGATTTCACTAGAGGTTTCTCTCAAAAAATAGCATACGATGGATAAACAAATTACTATTGGGCAATTGATAGAAGAGAAAATAATTTGGACGATATCCAAGACCACTAGTAGAAAAAACCCCATTCGTCTCGGTTCGTGAGGGCCATTTGTCCCAGTTCACGAACCGGGACTAAAGGATCGTTACTAAAGCCCTGTCCCTTTAGTCCCGGTTCGCCCAGGAACTGGGACAGATGGGGGCTCCACGTGGCCGCTGCCGCTTGCCCAGGCAGGGGGGGCCTTTTGTCCCGGTTGGTGCCACCAACCGGGACCAAAAGGCTTCCACGCATCACTATTTCAGGGGCTGGGTTTTTATTTTATTTTTCTGAAAGGGGGGGGAGGTTGGGGTTTTTTGTAGGATTAATTTAGGGGTTTGAAATATTGTGTTATCTCTTATCTCCGTGCTTGGTTGACACTACGTATAGAGAGGACTCGACACGCTAGCTATCTAGTAAGCAAATGAAGGAAACTATTAAGTACAGAAGATCGCCATGAACATATACAGAAGTGATCGGCCTCTCCTTCTCCGAGAGATTGGTCGAACAACAAGTTTTCGTATATCTATCCGATGCTACTGGCTACATATATATATACAATGTGTAAGATCTCTTACAATACCCTAACATATGAACTCAACTTCCACATGCATGGTGGTATTCTCCGGCTTTATGATGACGTGGTCAAGAAAGAATCCAGCCAATTCCTCTTGAATTGCTCGTATGCGATCTTGTCATAGGAGTTCATTCCGCATCTCCCACATCTAATTTGAATAAGGGGGTCAATACATATATATATATATATATATATGAATAAAACTCAACAGAAATGATGGTAATAAAATAAACTTGTGCATATTTTTGCTTACGCACTTCATATTGTCTTTTAGACTAGCCCCGCCTATTCTTGGTCGTCGCGTTGTAGATGAACTCGCAGACGTAGTATCCACAGTAATTATTCCCGGCTTCCTACCACAAGCACTTTACGAGAAATAGAGGTCAATCAAACTGATAATGAAGCATTATAAATGGGCATTGATGAAAGTAGCTAGAATCAACGGGAGATGCGTGGAACTAGCTACACTAGTAGAAAAGGGGGCAATGGTCCAGGCCGGGTATGCCCATTAGTCCCGGTTCAGTCCAGAACCGGGACCAATGGTGGCATTGGACCCGGTTCGTGAGCCCCGGGGGCCGGCCGGGCCACGTGGGCCATTGGTCCCGGTTCGCCTGGACCTTCTGGTCCCGGTTGGTGGGTCGAACCGGGACCAATGGGCCTCGCTCCTGGCCCACCACCATTGGTCCCGGTTGGTGGCTTGAACCGGGACCAAAGGCTGCCCTTTAGTCCCGGTTCATGCCACCAACCGGGACCAATGAGGTGCCTACATATACCCCCTCGCGTAAGAGCAGAGCACACTGCTCTGTTTTTTTTTGGCCGCCAAGGGGGAGAGGGCTTGGTGGTGCTCTAGCTCACCTCCTATGCACACAAGGTGTTTGATGGAATGCCCGAGCCACACTACTTAAGCTTTCTCCTCTCCAAGCTCGACCTCCAAGCTCCATTTTCCTCAATATTTGTCTAGGTTTAGCGGTCCATCACGCCCCGTTCCCTTCTTCACCACCGTCGATCACCCGCGCCGATCTCATCGCCGGCACCACCGTGGTGAGCCTCTTGTTCTTATCTTCTTTCTAAAAGGAAAAATATTCTTACTTGTATGTTTAGATAGATACTTGTATTATTTTCTTACTTTTATTATTGCATCTTATATAGTGCGATGGTTTTGGTATCCGCCCCCGTCGGTCCTCGTCCTGTCTATGATTCGGATGTGGTATATATTATCTTTTCATAACTATTTGGTTCGTTTATTGTTTATGACAATTATCCCGACCAATGTGACATAGATTTTATTTATCTAGGAGGTTGTTGAACCAGAAATTCCAACCGACCCTATTGTCGAGAGGTTAAATTTAGTTAAAGAAGAAAACAATTTCTTGAAGGAAAAAATAAGAAAAATTGAGGAGGAGAAGATGATATTGGAGTTGCATGTTGTGGATGTTGTCGATCATCACAAGATCAAGATGGATGCAATGCGCTTGAAGATTAGAAATATTAGAAAATATGTCATTCATACCGAGGCTTGGTATCATTATGCCGTTGGATCAGTTGTTACCTTGGTTGCGATTATGATCGCATTTGTTTTCGCATTGAAATGTTTTACATAGTTTCAATGTATGGTTTAATTAATTTAGATGCTCTGCAGAGCTTTATGTTGTTAGATGAGAACTATGTATGTACTTTGGTTTTAATGTGATGATGAACTTCTATTAATTTGGTCACTTAATTGTCTATTCATGATGTTCTGTAATGATTTTTGACACACTTAATTATATATAATGCACGCAGATGAACCGGCAATGGATGTACGGTGACAGACGCACCTCCGAGTACATTAAGGGCGTGCATGATTTTCTCGAAGTGGCTGAGGCAAACAAGCAGAATGGTTTTATGTGTTGTCCATGCCCTATATGTGGGAATACGAAGTCTTACTCTGACCGAAAAATCCTTCACACCCACCTGCTTTACAAGGTTTCATGCCACACTATAATGTTAGGACGAGACACGGAGAAATAGGGGTTATGATGGAAGACGACGAAGAAGAGTACGATGACAACTATGTGCTCGGTATCGTACTGGAATTGTTGTAGTGGAAGGCAGAGAATGTTGTGCCTGACAAAGGATTTGAGAAACTACTGAAAATATTGAAGAAGAAGCTTCCAAAGGATAACGAATTGCCCGACAGTACATACGCAGCAAAGAAGGTCGTATGCCCTCTAGGATTGGAGGTGCAGAAGATACATGCATGCCCTAATGACTGCATCCTCTACCGCGGTGCGTACAAGGATCTGAACGCATGCCCGGTATGCGGTGCATTACGGTATAAGATCAGAAGAGATGACCCTGGTGATGTTGACGGCGAGCCCCCCAGGAAGAGGGTTCCTGCGAAGGTGATGTGGTATGCTCCTATAATACCACGGTTGAAACGCCTGTTCAGAAACGGAGAGCATGCCAAGTTGATGCAATGGCACAGTTAGGACCGTAAGAAAGACGGGAAGTTGAGAGCACCCGCTGACGGGTCGCAGTGGAGAAAAATCGAGAGAAAGTACTGGGATGAGTTTGCAAGTGACCCAAGGAACGTATGGTTTGCTTTAAGCGCGGATGGCATTAATCCTTTCGGTGAGCAGAGCAGCAATCACAGCACCTGGACCGTGACTCTATGCATGTATAACCTTCCTGCTTGGATGTGCATGAAGCGAAAGTTTATTATGATGCCAGTTCTCATCCAAGGCCCTAAGCAACCCGGCAACGACATTGATGTGTACCTAAGGCCATAAGTTGAAGAACTTTTACAGCTGTGGAATGGAAACGGTGTACGTACGTGGGATGAGCACAAACAGGAGGAATTTGACCTAAAGGTGTTGCTGTTCGTGACCATCAACGATTGGCCCGCTCTCAGTACCTTTCAGGACAGACAAACAAGGGATACCAC